TCTATCCTTACTTAGGATCGTCAGGCTCTCTTCCCTAATATTATAATTGAAAGTCTTGCATTTTCAATTGTCTATGAGTCTAATTACTCTATAAATTACTTTACAATTTTGCTTTGCTACAATTTTGAAGAAAAGGGTTCTTAAATTGAAATCCGTACGAATTATTATTATTTAATTGTATTAAGATTTTGGGTTTATGGGTTTATAAGGTATGATATAGATTATGGAGAGAAAAAATGAGACAACCGATTACGTATGACGAAGAGGGCAAATTAATTATAATGTAATATTAAAATACAAAAGTTGTAGGAGTCGATTATATGGAGATAGTGAAAGATAAAGCTAAACTAGTTGCTAAAACGTTTAAACGGCCCTTTCACAACGATGTAAAAATTTTTTAATTTTATGATTGGATAAGTAATTTTCTTAGAATTACGCTAAGATAATTCAATTAGTTGTCTAAGCTATAAACGTGTGCACACGCGTTTAGTTCGTAATTTAATATGATATAAAGAGATTTACTTAATGACTATTATGCGCCTGTCTCTACCGCACGCACGCGCGCACGCACGCGCGCACGCACGCAATCTCTCTCTCTCTCTCTCTCTCTCTCGCTATCTACGCGTGTGTGCTCGCGTGCTTGTGAGCGTGTCATAAAGAGTACGTGTGAGTAATCACGTGCTAAAAAGAAGTGTCGATTCTCGTTCGAAGTAAACGTGGGATCGATATTTTAATCTAGGAGGTGAAAGTCTATCGAAGTGAAAATAAGGCGGGTCCTTGTTCAGGAATACAACAGGGCCGCTACGGTCGCCTAACCTAATGAAATAATGGATATTTATGAATGAAGATTGACCCTCGACATATCCAATGCGATCTCTGCATTTAATTAGCCGGCTTTTCTTATTGCAATTCACTCGATTCCACTACACTCGACTCGGCAACTCCTATATCACTAGGTAATTGTATCTATTAGATCGAGTTACAGCCCGAGCCATCGATACGATTGCATCGCGGTCCAGCAATTAGTAGTTGGCAAATAGGCGGCGAGTAGTACGTCATTGCAAATACTCCAGGCCCAAGGTGAATAATGTGAAAATTGGTTTATAGTCGACGAGGACGACGGCAATCATCATACATACAACGTTCAACGTTCGTCGCTTATTCGAATCGGCGATTATCGGCGGACCTAGGAAGCCGACCTAGGCGCGTCTCTCGTCCCATACCTCCCGAGGACGAGGCCCAAGGCAAGCGGTCGGTACTCAACGGCCACGGGTTCGCGTACACGCGGGCCATAGCGGCATGCCGGAGAAGTTCGAGCTTTCGCACGAGCTGCCAAGGAGACGGCGGCCAGGGCGAAAGCTTCATCACCTCCGGCAACCAGCCGGTGGCACCCTCTCTCTCTCTCTCTCTCTCTCTCTCTCTCTCTCTACGTGCGTGCGCGCGGTGACGGCGAGAGGGAAGTGGCAGGGGGGGGGGGGCGCGGTGGGTCTGGTAGAGTAGGCGTAGATCGTCGGCTCTATCACTCACGTTTCAGCAAGTCCGCTGGGCTCGAGCCGCGTCCCCTCGACGACTGCCGGCGTCCCTTGACCCGGAGCTGCGCGCTCCTCTCGGAGCCGAGCCGCGGACGAGCTCGAGCTCCCTTGGGACTCTCGTGCTGGCGTACGCGTAGCCAGGATGATCGTAGCGTCGGGCCCCGCTCGAGCGAACACGGGCGATCAGTTGTCGTAAACACTGGGCGCCATGCTGCTGGCCGCTCCGGACACGGCACCTGTCAATAGCTCGCTCGGCCAGTCGTCCCGACACCTGGTGGCACTATCGATTAGTAGTCAGACGCGTCGACGCGACGGGGACGACCCACGCCGCCTGCGCGAGCGACACCTAGGTATGCCGTCGGAGGCGACGGCACCTCGTCACGTACCACGGGGCAATCGCTCCGGCCGGCCAGTCCACAGCCACTACGAAGGTACAGCGGTGCCAGTCGGTAAACGCGGCACCTGCCTTCCTTGACGGCCGGTAAATTGTAGGGGACCCGGTCGATCGATCGCCGGGCCGCCTAATGATAATTGTGGCGTTGACGGTTGTCAGCGAAGAGGAAGGGGAGGAGTCGACTCCATCTCCTAACGACTATCTGCACAAATTGTCCTCCTGTATGCAATAAATTACTACTCTCACTTGCTTCTTGTTCCTCCGAGGCTTCTCCAACGAATCTCTTGATTTACTTCTTTTTTTTTTCAAAAACTTTTATCTGTTAGGCGCACAGCTGCAGGCTGCCAGTCTACGTCGACAGTTTGATTAAGACTGATAATGGGACGCATAATTATTAAATGGTCAGCCAACGCACAAAATAGCGTAATAATGATTTAGCGATCGATTAAATGAGCTTCTCAGCTATTTACTTTCCAATAACTGACTTTTCTTAAAACAGTTTTACAAAATGACTTCACACATCAATCAATTTTCTTATTATTCTTCGAGATAACATCTACTTAATTTTATCAAATTTGATATTATATATGTACGATGACAACATCAGACTTTGCATTAATGAAATCAAATTTAAAATGATAATAATTAATAATAAGCATTATTACTATATATATATATATATATATATATATATATGGTACAGGAAAATATATTAAAATATTTATTGATAAGTAAGCTAAATTTTTATTACATGAAAACTAATTTAGATTATGATGACGCGTCTCGTGATTTATTACTTATGGCCACGTATGGTAATTATTAATTATTATTAAATAATTTGACACTTAACTACTTGCAACTTCGAATTAAACAATTTTTATTATTAATGTAAAAATTGTATCCATTTGTTATGCAATGCATTTAGTAATTACCTTCTTTTTTAAATTTTACATTTTAGCTTCTTAAACTTTACACCATTTTAGAATATTAAGCGATTATTACAAAATGTTAAAGGATATAAAATTTTGTCCCTCGCATAAAATAAGTGAAATAATAAGTTTAAACTGAAAAAAAACATCGTTATTAATATATATTATCAGATATAACTAAAACACAAATTAAATAAAATTGCTTTTACATTGAATTTATAATAGAATGTTTATGATTGTCTTTAAAGAATTAACAACCTAAATGAAAAATATGAAATAATCGTTTAATAGTATAATAAATATGTTATGCTGATCAAATAAAAATAAATTATCCATAGTCGGAGGTATATTTGTAGTGAAATATAAATAAAAAAGTACATGTTATATCAATAATAAACAATTAATTACTGTTAGTTGAATATGTTGGCGACTCTGTGTATTATTGAAGATTATTGAACGAAAAACTTGAAAATTCGTAAGCTCATTGATTTCGGAAATTAAATGTAAATGTAAATATGTATATAAGAATTCGAATACATAATGACAAAATTTAAAATGTCCATTTGAAAGTTCTGCGGTTATTTCTAAGGTCGGCCATAATTTGTATACAAAATTAATTGTTACATCTGTCGACGATAAATAAGGACGTAATTAGTTGAAAATATAACTCCAAAGTCAACCGTGTAATTTGTTATTTTTATTTACTCGTGTAGTGCTTCATTAGCCTCTAATGATCCGCACTTTTTTAATCTATCCGCGCATCAACCGGAATTCACTTGTTCCTGGTCGATCCTTCATCCTTATTACTTCATTCCCACACTCACATTCTCCCTTAATACAATATTATTTATTAGTAAATTTGTTTTTTATATTTTCCCGTTGCCCGTGCGATGGAAAATGTATAATAAAAATAACGAATGAATAAGATAATAAAACTGTAAACAACAATTTTAATTATTGGCAAATTCCTTCCTTGCCGGATGTCTTGTTATTTAATATGAGAAGCAACGATAAAATAATGAGAATTTTTCGAAAATTTCAAGGTTTTTTTTTTTTTTACAATAAAATAATTAATGAAGTTTACAACAACAGCAATGAAATTATTTTTATTACTTTTATTATTTCGTCTGTAATTAATAGTAAGTATTTTTTTTTTTTTTTTTTTTTTTTTTTTTTTTTTTTTAATACCCAATGAAATAATATGCTGTAATTAAATTTAAAGAAAATGTTTCGTTTGCTTGTATCGAGTAAGGAAAGAAAGAAAGAAAGTAAGAAAGAAAATGAAATATCGGGTAACGAAAATAATAAACATACATGATGTATCCCTACTATCGGTCGGTGTTGATAAAATAAAAATAAAATGCGTGGTATAAAATATAAATTTATTGATCGTAGCATATGAGCGTGCATAATATGATTATTACACAAAAACGATGCTCGGAAGTTTGTTTTTGGAGAATAAATTAACGACATGAGATGAGAGCAGAGATATTAAGAAGCACAAATATTACAAATAGTACAGTTATAAGAATGAATAATACATGCGGCTTTATTGAAAATTTTCATTATGAACACTCCATCATCAGACGTTTGCACGGGCAATAATATAATAATATAATATTATTAGAATTTCCATTCCTTCGTATAGAAAGTAACATTAATGACAATAGTGCATTATATAAAAAATCTACAATAAATAATCATATGGTTCTAAGGATAGTGGGGCATGAGAGGACATGGAATAATGGGGACGTGACTCGATAATTTTCGAGCTTCCGTGCTTTCGTAATTTCGTCTCTTGGCACTTCTTGATTGTCGATCGCCCAATCCCATACATTTATGCGTCGATGGTATTGATAATAGATTATCCATTCCTCATTTTTCATCGTATATAAATTAAACATTAAATTACATAGATATAAAATAAATAAGAACGATGGTAGTGCGCTCGTAAGCTCCGCAACGTCCGCGAAGCTTAAATTAATATCCTTCGAGTCGCCCTGCCCATCCAAACCCATCATTTATAATTTGATTCTCTCGTCTTTCGTGCTTCGCACTCGGCGAGGCTTCGAATGACACGGAGCTAGCATTTATAATTTTTTAAAGCAATAATCTCTTAAACCCCCCCTCCCCCCTCCTCCTCCTCCTCCTCCTCCTCCTCCTCGTATCTCTCACACCTCCCGCCCTCGTATGTATCGACGATGATTAAAATAAAAAAGACAACACTCTCACGGTCGACACATCACCTGCGAATCAAAAAGATATTTCGCCGGTAAATGGCCACTCTCTCTCTCTCTCTCTCTCTCTCTCTCTCTCTCTCTCTATCTCTCTCGCTCGCTCCTAGGACATCCGTCATGCTCTATCGCGCCTAGTACAAGTAGTTCTTCGGATCATCCACGGGCTCTCCGCAGATACCGTGATGCATCTTGGTGACGCGGTTCCTCGAGCGGCAAATCTCCATGTTAAGGAAGCACTCGTTGCCGTAGGTCATGCTATCGGTGCCGCACACCGGGTCGTACTCCAAGGTGCAGATCGTGTTGCAGCCGTGGAACTCCAAACCCATGAGGCACCGCTTCAACGGCACCACGTATATGTGCTTTCTGCAAATACAACATTACTTTTTACGCTTTTCAATTCCAAGCCCAACGGGCAATTTGTCTTTAAATTGCGGATACTCCTTATTTCCCAACAGGCTTGATAAAACATTTATTATGCCATTAGAGTCAAACGTTCGTTAAATGGATGCTCTGCCATCCCTTATATTTCATTTCCCGTCTCATACTCACTCGCCGTCTTTTTCGTCTTTTACCCCGTCTTTTCGCAATACTCGCGCCAATGCTCGCCAACCTACCGCTAAAATTAATCCAACCAACATAATTCCCCGGCTAATAATGCATTTCAAGATGAATTGAATTAAAATCCCGCACATAATTTCCATCCTTTTAAATACACATTATTCCTCTTTCATATAATTCATAGGAATTATAATAATGCCAGCAGCTGCGAGCTAATTCGCGGCTCATTTACCTTCATTCATCCCCTTAATAACATGCAATTGTCATATGTTTACTATTATTATGTACTATTATTGTTGTTATTGTTATTATCATTATCGTTATTATCATTAGGGTAGCCGAACATCTGTATGTAAGTAAATGATTGTTAATTGGCGGATAAAATAGATATAAATATACCGAGTGCTATTGTTTTCGTTGAGGCGCGAGATAATACGAGCAACGACCTCGTTATCGATCGATTATGAAATTCTACGTGAAAATAAGCCGAGCCGACTCTCGGTGTACGTTACACTGCCTCGATCGATCACCTATTATCCCCTATTATCCCCCGAATTCGTTAATCGAGCAAATAATACAAAGCAATGAAGAAAAAAAAATAAATAAATAAATATCGCTTCAAATGATTTTTCCAAGCCCCTTCGGCGTGATATTTTAAAAAGCCAATGTAAATGATGCCGGCAGCCACGAGGCGTTTAATTGAAAATCTGAAATTCGTAATACCGAATGGTGATGGCGCTGTTCGAAGGGCGTTACGTGTAAAGCAAGACATGTAAAGGATGTAAAGGAACGTTTAAGGAGTAGACTGGCTCACCCGCAATTGTCCCTTTTCATCTCGCAATCGTTCCGGTAGAGCTTGTTGTCCGAGCCGCACACATACTGCTTCTCGTTATTGCAAATCTGGTTGCAGAGTGCAGTTGTGCGACAATGCTGTGCGGGCACTTGCACCACTCGTTGTCCGCATGTCTCCTTCTGCAGCTGGCACAATGACCTGTGGGTGTAATGCAGCCGCGTTAAAAGGTATTTAAAGGACGAGGTGCGCTTTCCTCACTACGCACGAACGAAAATCTGCCCGATCATACGCTCATGGATGTTTAATACGTCCTCGTGGATTATCCGTCTCAATATTTTTCTTAAATTCAATAAGCCCGTACCTGTTTTTACTCTCTTTTGGAACAAGAACAGTAAAGAACGAGATAAAAAAATAAATAAATAAATGAAAAAAAATTTAAAAAAAAAAAATAAAATAAATAAATAAATAAAGATAGGAGTTTCCGAATTGATGGAGCTTGTTGGATATTAAAATGGATCTACAATTAGCTTTGAGCAAATTAACGATGAGCGAAAATTTATTTTACACAAATCGTGAACGCTTGGAAATGTTTAAAGCTCTCCCCCACTATCATCGTACCTTTATTGCGCTGAATATTTTTATATCTTATGCCGAGCTAATGCTTAATACTCAAAGGCATTTATTTATTTATATAATAATTAAAAGTAAGTACATAAATCCTCTTGAATATCGTACCGCTTATGTTTCATAAAATTTTACTTCAAGAATAATAATATTTTACGGAGAATTTCTAAAAATATGTCCGCTATGAGCCATCCGGTTAGTTAACCTTTATCAACTGGTTTCCTTCGCGTTTTCATCAGGACTTGACTAATTTTTAAGCAAAAATATATAAAAGGCGTAATCGACCTCAGCGGAAAATCGATTCCATTAACAATTACCATATCGTATTTATTCATAAACATCCAACGCTTCATAAATTTTAGTCACGAAAAGTTTATAATTTCTGGGGAGAAGAATGAAAGAATGAATGAAAGAAATAAAGAATGAAAGAATGAAAGAATGAAAGAATGAAAGAATGAAGGAAAGAAAAACAATGAAACCTGCCTCGTTCCCTTTGCTCTACATTTTCATATAAAACACCTCGTTAATTTTTACGATATGATAATCTCATAATCGGATAGTTCGCGAATAAAGGAAATAGCAGGGGAACGATTCTTAAGATTATTAAGATTAATAGTGACGTGCCGATAGACGTTGCCGTCGCTGCCGCAAACTGGTTCCTCTGGAATATCGTTGCAATCATCGGGACAATGTTCCGTGTCCTTCAAAGTCGTGCACGCGCCTACGTGAGCCAACTGGATGCCTTTCCTGAAAAAGATTCGAATGAAAAAATTATGCGTAGCTATTAGTTTTAATAGACAGAGAGAATGGGCCTTTTATTATAACGCGTGAGATAAGCTTGGCTAAGCCGTTTACTTAATTTATTCACACACGAGTCCTTGGCCGATTCAATTACATTGCCCGCCCATTAATATCGTCATTATTATAATTCTACATATTGCGTACCACGTGCATTTCGTTACGATGCCCTTAAAAATGCCTGCGAGAACAAATATTCTTTCGACGAAATTCATTAATTTCACGCATTAACTATCATCTTACCTTATTTATTTCTCACATCTTACGTTTCAACGTCAAATTCACAATCAACGTGCAATTTTATTAGGCCAAATATCATTGCTAATAGTACAATCCACCATAACGCATCGACGCATTCCAACGTGTGCATTGTCATGGAGATGGAAAGACACTCGAATACGACAAACGTCGGTGTCTTCTGTCCCCGAGAGATTTACACTGTAGCTCCTATGTAAATACGCTTTAGTTTATTGCGTTTCTCGCAAGTCACCTACGAACCTCAAATTCCTAACATCGTAAGAGCGTAAGGTTATAATAGCATCGCGAGCCCAACCCTTCGCCCCTCCCAGCAGCGACATGTTCCCGAACACGTTTTGCCATTAGGATACGCGCGCACGTGCGAAGAACGAACGAACGAACCTCGTTCGTATGAGCCCAGCTCGTATTATTGCACGACGTATAAACAATAAGTAGAATAATTGTCGTTAACTCACAACGTTATATTAACGAGATATGCCGTGAAAATGCTCCATCTCATTCTCCTCTCACCAATAATTACGTCTCGTGAAAAGTCATTTATTTGTTGATTTTTCAAATAATTTCGACTCGCTTCTTTCATGATATCACGTTGCTTTTATCACGAATACCTAATCGGATGCGCGAATAATCATGGGTAATCGAGGGCGTGGGTAATCGTAATAATTCCAAGTAAAGGCTTGAAATCATTATGGAATCCAAGGCATTAACATCGATTCGTTAGTCCGTAGGAATCGATTACTTCATAATCGCCCTTTCATGTCTATTAATTAGCATCCTGTTGTTAAAAACAATAAACAAAAAACAAAAAACTAATGAGTCGATTGATCGGATAAGCCGTGCAGTCGACTTTCATTTGAGATAGTGCGAATGAAAAATGGCATTTAACGTTGGCCTTAATAGGAGAAGTAAAAATTTGCGCGGCACACTTACATGCAAATGGCGACATTCAAGTGACACTGGTTGGAGTAAACATTAGCGTCACTACCACAAACTGGATCGGCTTCGGTTCCGCAGTGCTGCTGTTGCTTGACGCACTTGGATAGGCGCGTTCGACACTTTTCAAAGTCCACGGCCGTTACTTTTCTTCTTGTATTTCTAAGTAGATTTAATTGCATTTCAATATCCAGTAGTGAAATAGCTCTAAGGCCTTTTATATATATATATATATATATATATCAATTATATCCTCTGCGTTAAACAATGCGTCTATATACAAAACGAAGATAATTTTGTTTCGCGGTATATTGTAAGCTTGAGAAGCTTGCAAACTCACGAGTGACTCGCGCACCATCCACGAAAAATCTATTCTGATTCCCGGGAATCGCCTTTGTTTTATTGTCATGAAAAAATTATACCCTACTATGTAATGAGAATACTCTATCGCTATAATGTACACGATGATTAAACAAATTAATTAAATTAATGCTCCCCACGCATTGAACTTTACGATAGATCTTACGATTAAAATCAAGTAGTGAATTTAAAAACTAACTGTCGAGTTGTGCCTAATACAACTTATTGTGATGAGAATATTGATCAATGAAATAATTTATAATTATGATTTTTGACATTGGATTATAGGGACAATCGATGATTTTACAAAAGGATTTTACAGGCGAAATATTTATTTTGTTTTCGGATATCAACGTCGTTCCAATGTACTTTTGCGAATTAGGCATTCAACCTTTCTTTTATCTTCCTATCAATTTTACATTCAAATAACTAATTTACTTCTATCATTGTATAATTTTATAGTGTACCATTTACTATAATTTATAGTATAATATATTTTATTATCATCTATAAAAGTGTGTGTTAGTATTGAAGTTTCTTCGTGGACCGCCAATATAAACTCTCATCTTATTATAAATAGACTGTTATGGCGGCATACGAACCTTAAATAATTTCTCACAATAAATTTTAACGTTAAATCTCAGGTTGATAATTAAGGAATTATCATAGTATTAACGATTAATATTGCACTGGAAACGGTATTAGGAAAAAAAATTAAAACTACATCAATATAAGTGAGAGATAAAATAGCATAGAAAAACTATCAACAATCATGTGGTATGATGAATTTTAAAAATCATTGTGCCAAAAGGGTAAGTGACTTTTCGCGCGAACGTATTAACATACGAATGGCAATTATTAGAAATTTCATAAAATAATATATTGCCAATAAGCCTTACATTAAGATCCAACGCTTAAGAAAAGATTATCAATGTCTTCTTAAGTCTGTAACTTCTCTCGAGTAATCATCGATCTACGAAACTTACCCGCAATTGAGCATTTGCATCTCGCATTCGCTTCGATAAATGCTTCCGTCTGATCCGCAAACTGCTATTTCCGGTTCGTTTTTACAATCCAAAGGACAGGCGGTGGACACGCTACCCGAGGTCCTTTCCCGTGACACACAGAAGGACATCGGCACTTCAAAGACGTGCTTCCTAGAAGACGCCGTCAGCAATTACATCCCTTACATTTCAATAATTTTCCATTTCGTTATCGCAATATTAATATTTTCTAAAATATGTTATTTAAGCTTAGCGGATTTTTTTGTTTTTGTTTTTTGTTTTTTTACATTTTCATTTTACAAGTGGTCTGCTCTGGCTTCTACAATCCTGAAAACTATACGTCCAAAATGCGCTGACTTCCTTCAGCCTCGTCAATAGCTTGGCAATCATATTATCTAAGCGCTTTTCACAAATTCCCAATGTAATCCTATTCTTAAGTATGAGGATAATAGGATATAAAAATTATGCTCTTCGTAATTATTTTTCGGTCAATCCAATGAGGCTTGCCAGTGAGAAAGTTGTTATCAATAGTTATTGCAAAGCAATTTGTATTTCATATAAATCGCGTGGGATTATTTAAGCAAGTGGAATAGTGGAATAGTAGCGGATGATCAAATTGAATGGGACATGGAAATTCTTGAAGGGCTTGACACTTGTCATCGACTAAAGAGCATTTTCCTCGATCCGTGTACTTCATACAAGGCTTAAAGCTTTAAAGCGCGATTTTTTGACATTAAGGCAGCATACTGTTTCCACGTACCCGCAGTTTTTCGCTCGCATCTTGCAGGTATTCGCGTAAAGGATGCCGTCACTCCCGCAGGCTGGTTTGGCACCGCGCCAGCAGGATTCTCGGCAGTGTCTCGTTGTTTGGCAGTGCTTTTTGTTCGTCCTCACGACACCTTGCCTATAAAACGATAAGCATCCCTTTGATGTATATGTATATATGTACGGCCTAGGTTTTAAACGTGCTTTAAAGACCTAATGAAAATCCAAAGATTCGTTACAAATGAAAATCTTACCAAAATCGATTGTGTAATTAATCGCAATGGCACGCGATTGCCCATTATGATGATTTTATCGTTACTCGCAATTACAAATAGAGATTTTTTAACAATAACATGCAACGTGACTCAAAATTCAACTTTGTTACAATGGATTCGTCGTTTTTTCCCGGCTTTATTTCATCATAAATAATACAATAGACAATTACGTCAGCGGTAGCGATACCTCGAATCGTTGATAATAACATTCATTCCATTTACATTTCATCGAAAATGCCAAGGCATTATTATCAATTTCAAATATCATCGTCACTATTAATTAGCATCGCCATCCTCCCCATAACTATTAATTTTCTTTAAGCGAATTGAGAGAAACGTATCGTTACAGCTCTTCAAATGTTTGTCGTTAGAGAAATGAAAAGATAAAAAATAAATATGTATCAACCTAGCTGTGAAGAACGTCAGAAATAAATAAATAAATCAATGTATATGTATAGCTTGAGAAACGTGTTTTTCGAGATAATTCTGTAAAGTGACGTTATCAAGTTGCAAAAATCGATTTAACGTCATCGACAACAAACGTGTATTAACAATACACGACAATACGATCGCTAAAAGCTACCTATTCGTGGGCTTTTTAATCCGTTAAGCAACGGCTAATGTAACTAATTGATACGTCCTCTCGTCGCAAGCACGGAACTTTTACTTTAAACTTTAAAGCTACTTACCCGCAAGTGAGCAGTTTCATTTGGCAGGTGGACTTGTAGACGTTGCCGTCGCTGCCGCAAACGGGGCCATCGAGGGGTGCAAATTCGCAGGAGACGGGGCAATTCTCCCGGTGTGCGGAGATGTTGTTGCAAGGGCCGAGATGCGAGAGCTCGATCCCCACCCGACAGATCTCCACCCTGAGCATGCACTTGTTGAGGTAGGTGTGCCCGTCCGTGCCGCAGACGAGATCCTGATCACCGGGGCAGCGGTGCTCGCACTTGCTGCCCAACGACCGGAAGCACGACTTCTTCTCCGGAGCTACGGTCACACCTGCAACGAGGACCGGCCCGTCGATCATCCATCCCCTCCCCCCCCTCCCCCTCCCCCTCCCCCGGATCGTCAACTCTCCGCTTACCGGGGAGTGCAATTTCGTGGCAGTTCGAGGCCCGAGGCCCATTTACCAACCTAACTCGTTGACATTTATCGGGCATGCGCAATCCAACAATGTCAATATTGTCATGCAGTCGGTAATCGCGTGGTGTTTGTTAACGATCGATGGATGTAACGATACGAGGGAGGGACTTTTACGTGTAATAAATGTACTTAGGCGCGCAGGATTACTAATACTGACAATAACGATTGAAATTTTTAAAAAGCATAGACAAATTAACTTTGTTAACTGCAAGATTATCTCCAAGTTTAATATTCCCTCACGATACTCGAGCTTTAGACAATTTCGTAGCACAGTAAAGCATAAGGTATCGTGCTTTAAATGTAAATTTAAATAACATTTTTAAGATCTTTCATCAATTATAATATATGAACAAACGTAAGAAGGGGAAAAAAAATCAAATTAAAATAAAATCATTGATTGGTATAAATATCATTGGATTAATCTACTCTAACAAAATGACAACATTAATTTCTAATAATAATAATAATAATAATAATAGCGAATGGAGATAATGTAATGGAGATAATTTTATGTCTGAAATTAATTAGATAAGCACGATAAATTCAAATACATATTTATACGAATATACAGATATAATAGTGCTTTGTATTAAAACTAGTCATTAGCATTTACCGAGCATGTTACCCCAGTCCTGTCGTGCTATGCATTTTCATACGGTTTTCCGCTACTTTAACAATGAGCGTATTACCATTACATGAAAATTACAAGATCATTTTTTTGTTTTTATTGGTCTTTTCGAATATTTATATTACTATTTAATCGCATAAGGCTGATACGGATGGGTGCATATCTAAATGTGCCTTACACGTGTAATGCGTACGTAATAAATCAAAGATTAAAATTAATCTAATCGGATGTTCGGTTCGGAGTTGTACGAAGCCTAAATTAATGTAATTATTTCGAGGTTGTATTTGCTCGATACGAGAGCGTTAAGATATTTTCTTAAAATACTCTAAGATATTTGCATCCGCTTAACGACTACAAGTCCCTTGCTAAATTCAAATTTAATTACTGACTAACCAAGTCTCTGAGATACCTTAAAAGTGCCTGATTCTTCTTATGATTATAAGGAGAAGAGGAGGAGAATAACATCCTTACTCACGCTACTGACCACACTCAAGAAACTCAATGTGCAATTTACGAGTAAATGGTCTAATAACCAATGAGGCATTCATCATCGAAGTAAAAAGCCGGCGACCCCACTTTTCATGGAATAGCGTCGCATCGGGCGAAGAAGAAGAGCGTTGATGATTATAGCGCAATTAGATTTTTTTTTACCCTAGCGGTAGAAGCGTCGCTGCTTCATTCTTAATTAAGATGCCGGCAAACCGTAAGTTTTTCCTCTTTTTCGCGACTCCGTCTCCTTCTTGTCTGCCTGAACTCTGATGAAATTGTACGGGAATTATGAGGACAGTGAGGCCAGTGTCTTCGATTAGTAATGCGTAACAGGATTTTTTAAATGTTGCATTAGAACGCTCTCGAGTAATGCTTTAATCAACGTACATCGCCAATACGTCTAGGCCAATAAAATATCTAAGACATCGAGCTGCCACTATTATGCGATAAAATTTACAATAAAATCTTAACGATAATTTCACTGAGAATTGAGTGAGAATTGTATTGAACGAGTGTTGATGTCAAATGTTTCGTGTTTATTTCGCATCATTCGTAATGCTCGAATTTTTAATCTTGCACCTTATAATTTAATAAATTCATTGCACGAATGCAAAATTTTTAATGTTATGAAAAAACATGAAAAAAGAAAACAAAATTTCTCTCTCTCTCTCTCTCTCTCTCACACACACACTTTTGTCATGAATAATTTTCTGCGTATTATTATGAGTTCCGAGTCAGTAGTTACAATATCGACATTTTCCTTTTTTTTTCTTTCATTCTCTCTCTTTTTTTTTTTTTTTTTTTTTTTTTTTTTTTTTTTTTTTTTTTTATAATATTCACGTATTTTGAAAAATCTATCCAATAAAGCATTTTTATTAGGTAGAAGTAGTAACGATAAAGAAGTTAATTAAGACATAATTTGGCAATCTAAGAAAACTTTATTGCAAAATAGCGAAAAACGCGTAATTCCTGTAATGTACGGGAATACACAAACCTACACGAATATTTATCCACGTGTACATGAGAATACGCGTATTTATAATAAACGTTTAATAAAGTAGGAATTAATTTTCAAGATATATTATTAATATTATTTATACATTAAACACTGGAACTTTTGTAATAGCACTCTTATCCGAAACCAACCAGTATCAAATCTTTTAATTCGTGAAAATAACTCGGACACTATATATTTTTAATCGTCTCGATGCATTGAAATGGCCAAAAAAACAAGTAAAAGGAAAAGTAAAAATTATAATAAATCGCTTTCATTAAAATCTAATAATCCTCTATCGTTTAAGTTATTGAAGTTTCCGGCTACCGCGGAGCCTGCGCACCTGAATGATGACTTGATGATATCCACATTGCCAATGGATTTAGTGCGACTGTGCTTATGCAAATGTAATAAACTCTCGAATCTTTGTGGTATAATTGGTGTCAAATAATAATTTGACATCCAATGGTGAAGCAGTTAATGAGAGAGAGAGAGAGAGAGAGAGAGAGAGAGAGAGAGAGAAAGAGAGAGAGAGAGAAGAAACATTCATATTCTTTTTCGTTATAAAATTTAATATTGAATTGGTATCATGGAATTGGTATTATTATGGTATAGAATTAACGAATTCAATTTGGAATTGTAATTATGTCAAAAAGAATGCAAAATGACACTTCACTATAATACTTTAATAGAGCAATAGTCAGTTGGACGTTTATTCGATGGATTTCCAACTCCTTGCCACCTCTCTACGAAATCTTTCACCTTTGCCACGCGTACGTTTGTATCTCCGACTAAATGTCCGCCGAGTGTCTGAAATAATATTAGCGACACGTGTCTCCTGCTGCGTTTGCCAATATTTGCCAATAATGGCTAACGACCAATACAACCCAGCCCAGCAACGACGATGGGTTCGGCGCTCCTACATAGGCTATACGAGTGCGAGAGAGCTGTCGATACTGTCTTTACCCTCGCTATATCGGCAGACTAATTAAAAAGAAGTAAGGATGGAAGTTAGGTAAGTTGTCGTTACGGTAAATCCTCCCGTCATACGCTCCACATACGAATTGGCTGCCCCTGTCCCACCCACCCCCCTTCCTAGCTCGCAATGACTGCGCATGCTCCGTCACTCACCTTTGCCGCAAGTTTTCTTCCGCATTTCACAGGAGGAGGCGTAAATGACACCGTCGCTGCCGCATACCGGATCGCCGCTCGTCGGGCAAATCCGTGGACAGGAGCTGCTCGCGTATTCTGAAAAAGTAAAAAAACAAAACAAACGGATATTATTAGGCGCTGCCATTATTGTCGCGAGCGTCACATGACGCGCCCACGGACAATCCACGGCCGCCCCGCCATTCCCGGCCGCTGTATCATAGAAGGATTATTGCGGATACACTCGGCCGCGGGATCTTGTAAAATCCAGTCGGGGACTAATGGGTCGGCGGTGCCGCTGTTTGGCGCGAGCCACCGCGATACCGTTAATAAGGATGGGGGACTTTATATCGCGATTCCGACGCTACTGGCAGCTGCGGGTCTCATTGTTCACGGCCTTAGCGCGTGCAATGTCATCTTCGTTAGACGCTCATCTCGATCGAATCTCTCACCGAATTTCATTATCGACGAGGGTTAGCTGCTCCTTTCGACAGATCTGTCACAACCAGCGTTATTGTAACTAAGTGCTCGGCGGAAGTTCTACGGCTTTATGATAATTCACCAATTAATTCACACACACACACACACACACACGAACGCGCACACACACACACACACATGTATATATATATTATTGGTATTACATTAATTTATTACGGAAATTATTTCCTGTGCGGTGCTGAGCTGCCATTAATGTGCATGCATAAGACGACCGTTATTTACGGCTTCGTTGGACGGATAAGAATAATTTACAAACTACTTGTACGATCTTGTTTCAAAGATATTCTAAATCATCTTCCATATAAATTTGCTACTAAAGATAGTAGAGCACTTTTCTATTACTGGACACTAACGCATAAATAGTATCTTCAAACTATCTTCGTTTTTATTTCTCTTTCTTCTTCTTTCATTCGTACTTTTTCTTTATCGTTCCAACCCATCCCAAACTCTACCCACCCCTCTTTTTATTAATTTAGAGGCGAACCACATGTATTATTAGGTACCACGATACATGATATATAGGTATTTATTATTTTTAAAACAAGTTCAAAAAATTCTTCAAAAATTTTTCCGTTCAAGTCTTAACAAGGAAGCTCATTGGATTTCAAAGCTGCACTTTGCAAAAGAAATATTACTTATTAAAGAAAAAAAAGAAAATGCTCGCGTAAAACATCGTCTCCGACTATAAACGACAATTTGTCATATGCAATAAGTGTCTGAAGACGTCGCAACGATCTATCATTATAAATATCATTAAAACAAAAACAAAAAAAAGAAGAAGAAGAAGAAGAAGAAGAAGAAGAAGAAGAAGAAGAAGCATATCGTTTATACCCGTTGAAAATGGCACTCAAATGAAAAATCCAAAATTTTCATAAAATGTACATTAAGAGACCAATGTGCTTTTAGTTGTCTACCGCCAGGAGTCTGCGAGCAATGACATTAATAACTAAAATCAATCATATATCGTTATTAAGTAAGATACGGTGAAAGTGAAAACAGAAACCCGTATTAAGATTGTCGATAGAGACTCGACTCTCTTGACAATTAAATTATTATATTTACATACATTTTTTAAGGTTGAAAATTGTCACGATGTGCCAATATCGACAACATTGAGGAGGGGAGGGGCGAAGAGAAAGCGACGTTCAACTGTCCCCTGGTAGCCACAGAAATAGAGAGAGAGAGAGAGAGAGAGAGAGACAGCTTTTATCTTTTGCTGCTTGGAGTTGAAAATTATGCTGTATTGTCTCAGAGATGGATTTATCAACGAACGAGAATCCGTAGCAATTTCCGGAAAACGCGCACATAACCGACGACTTTCAGTCCTGGTTCATCCTACGAAGGAGTCCGCAATACAAATGCACGAGTGCAAGGGGACAGCAATTAATTCACTCCGGAATAGCTTTCGTCCTTTATCCATCGAGACTTCAGCATCCACGTCGTGGACCGACCCTCCTACGCCCCAGTCTCCAAACTCCATCATAATGATTTCCGCTCGACCATAGTTAACGACGCCTCGGTGCTTAGCTCACGGCAATATACGCTCCAGCTAGCTCAGGGTCAACAGCAGCTTGGATCAAGCGCCGGGTTGCGTCACTCCACGGTGTACCGTTCATTGGCGCATTGTAAGCTCTGGAGCTGAGGGGAAGCCCGGGGCTGGCAAGGACAACAAAGTACACGAGCCGCTGGATAAGGATATAAGGCAAGAGCCCCTCATCGGCTCATATCAATCGATAGCACTGGGCATGAAAAATTGCATTATCCCTTTACTACTACGTTAATGGGCCAGTCCCAGAGCCCTCTTCTCTATGCCCCGTATCCTTGCGCTTATCCAGCGTCCAGCGATCGTACTTTCGCTAATCCCAATGGTCTATGCAGCTTCGTCATGGCTTAGAATTTGCTCATCCGTAATTATTATGAGAAGAGAAAACTTCGGCCTAGGGGCGGGCGTGCTGGGGGGGGGGGGGGGGGACTTTAAGCATTAACGAGCGACATTTAAGACATTTAGTAGTTGCCATCTCAAAGGCAAACGAGCAATACATTTTTTCTGTCAATTGTGAAATCAACAGTCGTAATTCAAATACAGTAGCGAGGAAACGTTCTTTGCTTATTCTGTGAATATCGAAGGACTGACTCTTGGAGATTCATTGTTCTTTAGCGCGACCTAACGAACCCATTGTGCCTCGGGGTTAAGCGGTTTTTACAACTTTTAGCAACAAGTTCTCGTTGATTATTAACTATCCAAATTGTTTAAGAACAATCGTAATGATGATACTAATAATGATGGTCATTCGTATTTTTGTGGTTGGGAGGGGGGAAGGGGGAAGCTTCTATTATTATATTATTATATTATTATATTAGCGTCTATTCCGGTCGAGGCTCCAACAATACCGATCGCATTATGTTTATGGAATCTTCTCCATCTTTATCTTTTAACTATTAGATATGCACAGGGGTCATGGGACCAATTGGTTTGTACAACGACGGTCAATTCGAGCATCTTATGTTCCCTTCGTATCCTTAACTTTAACAGCCGATCGAGCTTTCGAACGCTAAATCGGCCTTTAAGGCTTTAAGCTCCATTAGTTTCATTGTAATTAACACCCATTATATCGAATATCAATGAATGTTAGTAACAAAATAAGGAGGAAGTATATTTCATTTATAATACAATTAGTATTACGATTGCGAAGTAAAAGTACACTGTTTTATTAATAATTTCTAACCATAAATCACGTATTTACTATATACCCGAGAAAAATTTTATTTCCATTTATGTATATGTTCGTAAATACCCAATGTTTACACATGGTAAAGAATCATTAACGAATGGACATTTACAAATTGCTTGCACTATTTAAAATTTTAATTTCACATTTTGCGCGAACGTTACGATAACCTGATAGAAGCGTAGGGGCCGAAGGCAATTAAATTGCCATACAACGCTAAAATCAATAAAGTGTACACATATATACAGATACATGTGCATAGAAATTTTTATATGCAAATGTGCCTGCAAATTTCTAAAGTCAACGAATCGATAAATCTATCTGAATAAGCACAATAGGCACAATTTAAACGCTTATCCAGACCATTTGTCATCGGAGAATTATTTGGCACAAGGAGAAATGACAAAATGTAACGACCTAATGTTCGATCGACATTTTCATTATCAACATCATAAAATAATTCACTCGCGATCTCCATCCTCTCTATTCTGATAGCCGAAGAAATTACCGACATCATATCATCAATAACAATCTCAGACTGATCCGAGCCCAGAATCGGGTCGCACTGGGCTCCTTCGCTTAATAGCCTTCACAGGAAACAGGATCTTCGATACCGCGATGACACACTCGTCGATCTTGGCGGTCAAGTCACGAGTCTGCCTAGGCGAGTCTTGTTGTAGGTCAGGGTGTGGTCCACATTAATTCCGATTGTGGCGTCCGAAAAAACGGTCCGCAGTCCACCATCGCGCATCTCCCTCCCATTAGCCCGAGGTCTATACCGATTAAGCACTCTCTACGTCACTCATAAATGATCGTAATTGATTCGCATAGCGACGATCTTGAATCATCGAACTTTAATGAATCTTCCTGCTACTCGTTATGGATATTCGCGAAACTCGCCAGTGCCGTCGACGCCCCCTTCTGTTAACAATGACTTTGCCCCTGGCCAAGCTGCATGCTACATCTGCGACACGAATGATTTATCCAGTAGTAGTGGAGGCTCGTCGGATTCACGACGAATGCTAAATCATGACAAATCTGATGCATTAGGCGAGCATAATCTCTAAGTAAAGAGTATAATCGGTTGAGTTTGTGGGTAGTAACGATATTAGTGCCGGAATTGATTAGAATACAATGTAGTACGGCTATAATAATGATTCGCGTCTATGATACTTGCGACAAGTGCTAATTAATAGGAAATGTTAGTCGATCATTGTATTATGTTATTGGCCGTCTCTTTAACGAGGCATAGAATTAAATTTTAAAAGAGTATTTGAGTATTTAGAAGTTAAGATAACGTTAATAGCGAGGAGTTAAGAGACCGGGATAGCTTGCAACCATTAAATTTCACGTCTGTTAATTTCGCGATAAACGCACTGCTTAATGATCGAATGTTGTATACGGAAATGTGTAAAACAAAAATTTACATAACACTTATTAATTATACGTTTAATCGTATATTTTATGCTTTAAAGGTACTACATTCGCGTCACTTGGCTCGTCGGTTTATATAATATTACAGTAAACTTTATTATTCCGTCATAAATATTCAGCGTTACAAAGTAAAAACAAAAAAAAAAAAAAAAATCGAAAAAATGAAATAAAAGTGAAAAAAAATTTAATGTCTTAATTAGAAATAATCTGCGGTTGTAAATTAATTTACTACGCATAAATTACGAAGTAAAGAGGCGAACGGTAGCGTTGATTTTAGAAAATGTTGGCGAAGCGATTGTGGTGGCCGTCGAGCAGTAATAATCTACATGTCGCAATGCCATTGGAACGTCGTTTTTTGATTTTCCCAGCACTTCGGCAAAACCAGTAGGCTAATAAACTCAAAGGAAAAACTCTATTTCAAAGAGCTTAAGCAAT